CATCCACAGAAGGGCTCACAGGTGAACAGTAGTTGTCGATACAGCTTTGTGGAGAGAGCTGCGCTGAAAGCATGTGATGGGGCCAGAATTCATAAATACAGCTGTTACCAGGCCCTTTTCCCTGCCTCAGAAATCCCTTTCTCTGGGCAAAACCATTTCATGGGGCCTAAAAGAAAATACATCTTTCAGCAGCATCTAACAGGTGGGTGATAGCTTTGTCTCCTATGTGGTTTAGGTGACATTCATGCTGCTCTAAAAACCATTGTTTACTCAAAGTCTCTTTGGCTTTTTAAATCAGTTCTGGTGTTCAAAATTTCTGCTTTTGGATCACCTGCAGTCCAGTTACAGGGAAATTGTGCCAGATTGAATTCCATCTTAGTTAGTTTCTTTGAAGATATAAATATGAATCACCTGGATAATTGTGGTTAAATTAAAAAAAAAAAACCAAATAAAAAGCTTATGACATAGGACCAAATTTTGATTTAATTTATTCTTGTTACAATCAGAAGTAACTTCACTGAGTCAATTAAATAACATTGGGTGCATCTACATCTGCACCTTATTGAGGAGTTGAGTAGTAAGCTCTGCAGTAAAGTGTCACCGTCTACACATGCACTGATATTAGGGTGCAGTAAATTAATCAACTCCCACCATAAGATAGTACTGTCGGGGATAGTACTTGACTCTGCCACAGCACAGCTACAGATGATGACCAGGGCTGGTTGGGGCACAAGGGTGCTAAAGTGTGGAGGTACCTGCCACCTAGTTCCTCACTTTAGCACACTTGTGCCCTAGCCAACCCTTCCACTGCCCAATGCTGCCACCCAGAGCCTGGTGTTGACCCCCTTGACCTCCTGCCATCCTCGAGCTGCTCTGCTTTGGCTCAAACTGCGGCAGCCCTGGGCACACATGCAGATGCAGAGTGTACCAGGGTTTATCATGTTGCCTTAATGGCATGTGTAAAAGCACCCACTTTGTAAAAAATGGAGTGAGTGGTACAAATTGGGAGTGAAGACAAAAATCTGAAAATCCAGTTTACTTTGCCACTATCTTTGCTAATGTTTTCCTTTCTCTTTCACTTGGCTTCACTTAGTAAGTGAAACTATGCTTGCCATGCTCACATTCTGCTTCTAGTCACTTGCACTTTCTGGCTCGTCTTTACTAGCATTATGCTACTGTGTTTGTAGTTTCAATAAATTCAAGGGAATATTTAACCCTGGGGATAATGGAAGGAGTTTCCCTTGGCTTAGAGAAAAATAGTAAAATATTTCTGTTCAAATTGAGGCAAATTTTGTAAAGCAGAACCTAAGTATACCTTCAGTTTTTCTCTCACTCCTCAGTTAGAATTATAGGGTATCTTCACATGTGCTCCAAGTTTGGGGTGGGGAGCGCTTTAATTGGAGCAGCTCTTGGGAGCCTCTAATGATATAAAGTGCCCAGAGCTCTCATGTATTCAGTGTCCCATGATTCAAAATAGTGGCTGGGTCATTTTAACTAAAGCTCATTCAATGCACTTCAGTTAAAGCACCCCCGCTGCCATTTTGGAGCATGGGGATGCTGAACACCTGTGACCCCAAGATTGCCAGAGTGTGCTGATTAGCGTGCTCCAGCAGACTCAGTTGAGTCTGCCCCAACCTGTGCTTATTGGCATGCATCAGAGCAGGCATCAGGCATGTGTATAGGTGCCACTAGAGTGGTAACAAGCGAGGCAGGTAGCTAGCTGTTGGATTTCCTTGATAGATGCAAACTATTATGCCCAAACATACATCTCTATGTAATTGTGCATGGAGTTTTAGAGGCTAATTGAGGCTTCTCCTTTTCCATTTTCTGCTACAGAACATAGTGTAACTTTGGATTCTAAACTAGTTCGATGTTGCCCATATGATGCAGTTTGTAGTTCACAAAAGAGTTCTTCCACCAACCACAACAGAGAAGACTAGCCACAAGACTGACAGCAGTCTCCACTTACAACACAATTTCCCATCCCTCTTTCCCAGTTACAGTCATGTTTTCTGTAATTCTCTCATTGTTAAATTATTCCACAATGTGGACATGTGACCATTCTGTCATTAGGGGAGGCACAAGGAGTGGTGCTCCTGGCCTCATGTAGGAGTGAGAAGTGAAGGGCTCTTGGCTGCCTGCAGCTTTCGGAAAGGGGTTTTCTGTAATTACCCTCTGCTGCAAAGGCAGGATTATTTGTGTTTGTTTCATTTGGATGTAGGCCTTCTCCACTCTCCAGCAAAATACCTTTAAGCACCCTCCTGCTGTCCATTCGCCTCTCCCCAACTGTGGCTCAGAGGAGAAATTAAGTTGCTGTAAAAAATGGGGACCTTTCAAAGGAATGTTTATGGGCCAAGAAAAGATGACCATATGGGCTGTTGCCCAAGGAAACACAAATCAGACCCTGAATCTCACCCCAGGAATCTGCCATCAAGATTCCACAATGCCTTTTTAGGATTTCTGTTTGTTTTTTTGAAGAGAGGATCATATATGGCTTGGCTCAAGTGTTTCAATTTATGTTTCTGGCTGTCGGGAGATTCTGGCAAAAGATAAAACATTGTCAGCTCGTTTTCCATCAGTAGCGCTCTGTCATTCCATTAGGGCAGGAAATAGCTTGCTCTGTTACTGAGTGAATTTGACTTTAGCGTGGATCAGAGAAAGGACCCATAGAGTTAAATACAGCTCCCTGTGCCAGCTGTGTAGCAAAAGACAGCCATGGCTCTTGGCCAAATGACCACCCTCAGGATTTGACATGTGTTGGCACCACGTGGTTCACAAAAGTTGGCATCACAAGAATATTTACCAGGGGATGAGGGAAGGAAGGACAGAGGAATTTAAAAGAAGATCCAACAAAAGGAGGATTTTGTTTATATTTTTTATATATAATATGATATATAATTTGAAAAAGACTAGGTTGGGATTTTTTTGCCGTAATGGGCCATTATTGTAGGTGCTCAGATTCTTCAGTGGAGGGGTACGATATAAGAACCTTGATAGACATGGGGGCAGGATTCTGTTTCTCTTAGTGCACCCCAGTGGCAGCTTTCTAGCTGTGTAGGTGGCATTTTTGCACTTACACACAGGTAGAAATTCAACTTTACCCATAGTGTGGACTTGTTAATGTGCATATGTGTGCTGAGCATGTACAGCTGCCTATGCACTGACCAAGCTGGTTCATATGTACACCTGCTACTGATGCTTAACTGTGGATAAGTCATGAACATGCAGCCAGCTAGAACCCAACAAATGGGTGCTAGAGGAGTACTCTCTCCTGTTTTAGCTCCACTACCTCAGTGGGTAGGCCACTTGCAGGAAGCAAGAGACTCAGGTTTTAGGCCTCTCTTCCCAGCACGGTTCTCTAACCACTATGCCATAGGTTAGGCATTATCCAGTCCCCTCTCCAGTGCTCCTTTTGAAGCTGGCCCCCTGGATAGCCAGAAAGAAGATATGTGGGTTCAGGCAGAAGCAAATAAGCCAGAGGGTGTGTAGCTCTGCACAGTGGATTCTGGCTTAGAAGGAAGCAGACCCTGGGGTTTAGCCTGGAGCCCTGCCCCCAATGGCGCAGAAACCGCTCCACTGTACTGCTCTTCATCCATTGTATCCAATAACTATTAAATGTAAGGGGCAGTGGCTCAGCTTCAAAGGAAGGACTGGAGAAAGGAACATGGCAAATGCCTAACCTGAGGCATGGTGTTTTGAGCACTGTTCTGGTTCAAATCTCCTTTGGACTAAGGAGGCCAGAGCCTAGAACCAGTGTCTCCTGCTTCTTGGGTAAGTATCTTTAACCACTCAGCTACTGGGGAGAAAACATGGGAGGGTCCCTCTCCATTGCTTCCATGCTTTTTCCTTGACTTGCACAGCTACACATTCACATACCTAAGTTTATGTACATGGCCATTGCAGAGCCTACTAAGCATGCTCAGTGTATGCACAGATGCTTTCACATCCACAGTACAGACAGGGCCAAAAATGGCCAGGTATGTGGCTAGAAAAGTGCTTTGTAGGGACACAGAATTCCTCTGAATTAAAGCAAATACAAGAAGAGCCCAACCTGCAAACTGTATTTCTCCCTGTGCTCGCTGACATTGTTCAGTAAAACCTCACAACACCCTTGCTGAATAAGGTAGGAGTTACGATCCCTGTTTTGCAACAAGAGATGCTAAAACAGAAATGGGAACAGGCCAAAAATCCCAGATGTTGTGGTTTGATTTCCAGAGATGTTGAGCATGTGCAGGTCTCGGTGGAGTGATGAGCTTGATTTTCAAAACCTGCTGAATGGTAATAAATCCAGCTGACCTCAGTGAGACCTGTAGGTGCTCAACACCTCTGAAAATCAAGGTACTTATTTAAAGTCTTTAAATATGAGCTTGGATGCCTACTTTAGGCATCCCAGTTTGAAAATCTGAGTGATTCTGGACCACACAACAAATCAGCAGCAGAGCTGGGAGAATAGATTGGGAGTGTTCTGCCCTTTTGGCAAGGTGCTTGAACTTGAACATTTGAAAATGCTCAATAGCTCTGAGTGGTACAGTATTTTGTGCTTTCAGCTTGAGATGGCTATGCCCAACTGTGAGTGGTGATCAGTACTGTCAACTGCAGCTGACCTAAAGAAAAGATTCAGGCCTTCAACTCCTCTGCAATTCAGGCTGTGGATATCTCAAATGGGACGCACAAAATTAGTGCTTCAAACTATCCATCTCCAAATGGGGACAGAGATACCCATCTATTAGGCATGTTGAAGCAGCATTTTTTTACACATGTTGTGGTGAGCATTCCAGATTAGACAGTTGAACAATGTCTTCTGAGGGCTTCCTGGCAAATACGATTTCTCACGGTAATCTGAAAATTTAAGGTTATCATTTACAGATAACTCTGAATGACTGGGTAGCATATTTCTTACCAGTGACTCCTGGCTTGCCCAGTAGCCTCAATTTTCTCTGAACTTTCAAGCATCCACAGCTTTTGTAGTCACCTCTCTGTGCTATTTTTCTCCCAAACAGATGCAGACTTTATATGCTTTTGATGATGAAGAAACAGAAATGAAGAATAAAATAGTTGAAGACTTGAAAACAGCTCTGCGGACTCAACCCATGAGGTAATTTTTGTTCAGTTCCTTTTTTTTACCAGCCCCCACAAGACCAGATGTGATGCAGGAAATGGTGTCAGTGAGTTCAGTAGTGCCTGGGAAGACACCCGATCATTTCCTCCTCAAGGACAGAGAGCATTTCCATAGCCTGTGCATGCCACTGGGGATCCTACCTCTCTCACTTTTACACTCTTGAACCAGGTGACACGAGGATTTAAGCCATAACTCTAGGAGAACACAGGGCAATTTATGATGTTAATATCCTGTGGACAGTTTTTGGAGAGAGACGTAGTTAGCTGGGTTAGTCTGAAGTCAAGTAGATGGTAGCGTAGATTTGGAGGGTTGTCTTAAATTTGCTGCTGTCCTCCTGTTGTGCCTCAGGGCAGGCATTGAGAGTCAAGTGGCTTGAAGCTCCTGGCCCTTGCCACCTGTTCCCCACCCCGTACTACCTCCCACTGCCTACCACTCCCATGGTATCTGCACCCCACCCCACCTGCACCTTGTTCCCTGCTACCTGCCATCCCACCCACTGGACCCCACTGGCGCATGCCCTCTCCCCCCACCTCTGCTTTGCCTCTCCTCCTTCCTGCTCCCCATACCTGTTTCCTACCCCTGTTCCCATGCTTGGTCCTTGTTGCAGCTGGACCCCCCTCTATGCCCCCCTTCTCCCCACATGGTTGCTGCCATCACTACTTACCTCCCTGTCACAGCTCTGGCTGGGGCTCATCTCTGGCCTGGGGCAGGGAGCATGGAGCATGGAGCATGTGCTGCCTCAAGCTCCAGCACAGCCACATAGCAGCTGTTATGTCGTAGCAGCTTTGGCCCTGGAGCTGGGGCCAGAGCTGCCACCATTGCTGCATGGCTAGCCTGGGACTGGAGACGATGGCACATGCTCTCTACTCATTGCTTCAGGCTGGAGTGGGGCCCCAGTCAGAGCTGGAGCTGTGACAGGGAGGTAAGTAGTAGCTGAAGAGGAGGGGGAGTGGAGGCAGGATGGGGCAGCAGAGAGCAAAGGTTAGAAGCAGAGGCTGCAGGGAGAAGGTGGCAGGGAGGGCAGGTGCTGCATCTTGGACTCCTAGACTAGCTTTGGGGCTGGAGTTAGAGCTGGAGCTTCAACTGCTGCCCCCTCCTCACTTATACTCAAATCCAGCACCAGGGACTTTTCCCCCCATGCTGAAAAGGGAAGAAAAACCTCATCTTGGAATCAAATAAATACAGTAAATGTGTTTACCTCAAAACCATGCAGAAGTTAAGAGATTTTTCAGTCCATAACTTCGTTTTTTTCTTTTAATAGAAAGCAGTTTCATGAAAAGTGTTGAAGCCATAAATTCTAAGTGATTTCAAGCTGGCTGGGAACTCATAGAATGAAATAGGG